ACAATAAGGAGAGGGTTAAAGGTCAAGTAACCGTCAGAGATCTAGCTGAGATATAGCACCCTTCTCCTGAATAAGCAGAAAATATAAAACAGCAGTAAATGCTGAAACATTCTCACAGTGATGACTCCCATTAGAGTTACCTTTTTTGCCTACAGAACATAGTGAAACCCACCTGTGAGTGAGGTATCTGCCCTGAGATCTCCGCCGATGCTTCACCAAGGAGCGACAGAGCTCTGTTCCAGAGCCCTCTGGAGCAGTGATGTTCTGGAGTCACTCATAAGGGTCCAGACCCCTCCATGCTCAGCTAACAACATCTATTGGTTACTGATCAAACCCTGTCATTTGCAAGTATTTACTAAAGACATCAGGCGTTTGATGGCTTCTGAAACCTTAAAAACCATGGGGGAACGAGTAAAAGCACAGAATAATCATGAGTGTACCAAATGAGCCAGCACGCAGACTCCTTCCTCTGCTCCCACACGGCTGGGCCGAGCAGCGGGGACTGGCTGCTGCTCAGGGGTTGAATGGCGTGCAGGGATGGTGGTAGTCCTCTTCTTTCTCAGAGGGAGCCAGCACGTACCACTCTGCTGCAGAAACGTCTACTGTTTACTCATCCTGGCTGTTGTTGGCAGTTTGCTGATCAGGTTGATATCTCTGCACCTCTCCAGTGGCTGGCAGGGATCCAGGTGGCTCTCAGCCCTAAGCACTAAGGTCGTACTGAGTGGAGAAGATCTCTGTTCAATGTGCAGCTCCTGGGGCCAAGAGCAGTGGACAACCATCAGCGTTAAGAAAGCTTATACCCATATATTTTTGTACTTAACAGGACTTTCTGTGCTATATGAACTTTTTGGCTTGAGGTGTGTCTGAATGAGCGTTAGGGTTTTTCTACTATCTGGCAGCCCAGAGTATGGGGCAATAGACTTAGGAGTCAGCCTCTTCACAGCTGGGTTCTGTGAGCCATATGCTTCACATGTGAAGGGATGTGCTCAGCTGTGCTGATAGGAATGACTTTAAAGAGATTATTGTTAGCTTGCTGCTGCTTGTTAGTATTCTTAGCTCCCTACCATCACCTCCTTCATTTTCTACTCAGCAGCTTCATGTGAGACAAAGATGCCCTTCATCGCCCAACGGAAGCTGCCAGAAAAGAGAGATGGTTTACATCAGATTGAAACAGCACCATTCTCTTTACTATTGCTCCTATATTCAGAAATGACATGATATTAAGATATGTATAGGCCCTGTACACGAAGACACACCAACAAAGCTAAAACTGCAGAGCTGGCAGCAAATACATGCATATGATTTTAGTGAACATCACAGACATGAAGCCCAGCGGTTCAAATGCTCATAACTGAGCAGACCCTGCAGTAAGCGGCTGACATGTCCGGGATCTACTCCACCTCTCTTGTTGGAAGTAGAGAAAGCCTCCAAGCACAGAATCACAGGACTTCCCACAGACCACCATAAGTTACCTCTTGGTTAATGTGTAATGTTTAGGAAACATTAATGATCAAAGAAAAAATAGCATTTAAATGACAATTTTCATGACAAAAAAAGCTTGACAAGGAAAGCAACAGTGAATTAGTAGCATTGCTAACTGGATGTTAATCTGAAATCAGTGGAAATAAGAAAAAGATCATTGATAAAAGAAGATCTAATCTGTTTTGTTTAGTATCTCTGCTTTAACTGCTTATTAATAGAACTGCTCTAATTTCATTGTAGGGGCATAGCCCCCAATGGTAGAAAGTCTAATATGTCATAAAGAAGAAAAGCAAATAAATTCAATCATGTGCCCCCTTTCTTTTTTTCCAACCCCCTATGTCAACATTTACCGGATGCTTCCTGTGTCAGGGAGATTGGAGACGACTGGAACCAGCCCAGCAGTTAATTGAACCCTAGAGGCCCAGGTGGTGGAGGGAGGGCCTGTTTCTTACACACACACCTACACAAACAGGGTTTAATTGGGTTTAATTGCAGCAGCAGTCGGTATTTTAGGACAAAGTTGCACTCATTCTGAAAATAGAATTGCATGATAGTTATTCATCTTTTTCCATTCATTGCTGTCATTTGGCCTTTTTTTAATAGATCAGTTGTTAATTCACCATGGATCTTTTTCCTCTGCATGAAATCTAAGCAGGTGATATTTTAACTTGTGGGAGTGTGCTTACATGTGCAGGGCTTAATGGCTGCACCAGATGCGTTTCATGATGCTAAAACCTTTGACTATATCGAGCATTAGTTGAAAGCTGGCTGAGTCACACTGTTTGTCATCATTCATGATGGGCTGTGTACTAATGGACCTGGAGACGCATGATAGACGGTAAAACCATGAATCCAACCTGCCGTTTGATCTATTGCTCTTTCCAGGCACTAAAACGAAGACACACCATCACTTCAACAGCAGGACACAAACTCTTTGGGCTTCTGAAGTGTGTGCATGTTGTCACAGAGCTGGAGCGGCTTCTGAATGACATCAACATTTTTTTAAAGCTAAGCTCCAACTTCATATGTTTGGTTTTTATTCAGATGCATTCCTGTGTTTGGCAAATGATTCAATCCAAGGCAATTTACAAGGAAAAGTTAAGAATAATAATGAACTATTGATTTTAAAGAGTGACTTACAGTAAACAGTTACAACACCACACAGTGGTTGGTTTCTTATGAGAGGAGGTTTTCATCACAATTTGAGAAATGATATCTTACCTTTTTACCTACCTCAGTGAGAAACCACACCTAACAGTGTGGAGGCGGTGTGGTGCTCAGCTGCAGGGAGCAGGGCCAGGGGAGGTGATTAGCTCACCTGGAATCAGTCGGCTGATCACTCTCCCCTCGTTAAGAACAGTAGAGCTGGACCTGGAGGACACGAGGAGCCTAAGCGGAGCAGGACACAGCATGGACCGTGTGTGTGTGTGTGTGTGTGTGTGTGTGTGTGTGTGTGTGTGTGTGTGTGTGTGTGTGTGTGTGTGTGTGTGTGTGTGTGTGTGTGTGTGTGTGTGTGTGTGTGTGTGTGTGTGTGTGTGTGTCCCCGTCCAATAAAAGACGTCAACCACAACACAGGAGAGAAAGAAGATGCTCAATGCTAAAAGAGGGCGTAATGCTATTGCTAATGGTCACTTCAGGGTTCTGCTCTTTGGCTGTATTTAGTAAGTTTTAAAGTGATTAACACAGGCCAGGTCCAATAGATCAACATCCAGAGCTTTCCAAGAATCAATAACAAACAACCTTACAAGGTCCCTAAAAGTGTAACCTGACAAATGGGCATTGCTATTTTTTATCTAATTATCATTTATACTTGACTAGAAGAAAACTGTTGGCTGTTCTTAACGTCCTACAATTCTTTTAGATGTGTTCAGTAGTTAATGGAAGTAGGACCAGAAATCCCTCCACCAAGGCCTATACATTCACTTTCATTGTCTAAATAAAAAATGGCAACAAATGCATGTTAAATGCAGTCACCAGTTAGTGTTTCCCTTTTATTTACTTTGATCAAGAGGTAAAGATAAAATGTGAATGTGTAGATGTACATCTCTTTCTTCTCCCTGATTTTATCACTGCTTTAACAGTAAATTTCATCTTTATATTTTTGCTGTTAAGGCTCACAAAGACATCAAACTGGCTGGAGGGGCAGTATGAGTCGTCAGTCAGACTTGGTCGACATCATCACCCTCACACAGTAGTATTACATTATAGTGGAATATAGGCTCACATCTAATGCTCACGACAGAGAACCAAACACCATTTGCTGCTGCAGTGACCACAACACAGTCATTGTTTGAGCAGATCCGTTCTAAATCTGCTCAAACTATTAGTTGATTTGTTGTACATGAGCATTATTCAGTTAGTGGTACAGCTCAGTGTGCTGTAACGGGTCTGTGACTGGTCTGTTCAAACAGCACATCATATCTGGAGGAAGGATTGTACAAACTGTACTGCATTTAGAGAAAACTTTCTCTTGGCTTTGGAGAAACAAATTTAAGAATCTATCCGAACATTTGGGTGACAATGAAGGTCAGCAGCCATGGAGGGAATGCAGCTAATGTAAGAGGGAGAGGACATTTGTTCTGCATCATGGACATGGAAACACTGTCTACACATCCACACGCCTTTGTCTAATCTGTTAACAGTGCCATGTACAGCTCAGAACACGCCAGTGAGAAGTGCACAAAGACAGCTTTTCTTCCTATTAGATCTCTCTCCATCAAGTGAGGGTTGATCAACCACTTCATGATTTCTCCCAATTTAGATGTTCTTTTTCTGACAGAAACACTAACAGAAAGCACAGATGCCCCCCCCCCCCCAGCAGTCTATAGAGGGAGGAGAGGTGCATCATGGGAGCCCCCCCCTCAGCTGTCTATGCGTTGACCAGGCAAACCGAGGAGCCTTTGGACTGCAGTCATAGGGGGCTTCCACCTCCAGGTTCCCAGCCACACAGGCCCAAGTGGGAGGCTCCTCAGTCAAGGCACCTCCCATCTCAGCTCTTAACCCTGGCAGGTAGGGCAGAGGCATCCCTGCTGTCCAGTGCCACTGGGGACTATCTGGGGATATTTCCACCGCGACTATTACCAAGCCTGGGACAGTCTAGAACTTCATCCAACATCCAGGCTGGGGATTGGATTGCCTCTGCTTGGCCTGGATTCAAGTTGAGATCAGCATCTTCTCATTGCCTTTGCCTTTAAAAAATCTATACAATAAAGTTTGTCTGTTCATTTTCTGTGACACTGAGGAAGGAACTCAGAGAGTTCCCGGTAAAAACACCCGGGAATCACCTACTACTGAAGCTGATTGTATTCTGCAGATTTAAATAGTTTTCAGAGGGGACACGATTTCCATACGATCTCTGTAATGCTGCTGAAGATTCTCAGGTCTCTTTCCTCACTTCTTCAGTTATTCCTCATCATCACTTATCAACAGTAACAGAAAAGACTAAACAAAGTCAATACTAAAAACAAATAAATAGATCAATGAGTCATTCTTAATTGTCTGTCTTCCTTTTCTAAGGTATTGGGAAGAATGTGATCTGTGACAGGACCGCCACTCCTCTGGATGCCTTTCGAATGATGTCAGCTGCCCAGTACTACCCAAAACTGCTAAGCATCATGGGCAATGTGCTGCGTTTCTTGCCAGCTTTTGTTCGCATGAAGGAGCTTTTGGAGGAAGGATACATCGGAGAACTACTTGTCTGTGAGGCCCAGGTATGAGAAAAACAAACCTGCTTGGTTCCTGGCAAATAGAACAGTTCTTTAAAGTTTGAGGAGGTTCTAACAGCATCCACTGAGATGTTAAAGGCTTTTCTAGGTTTCCACACAGGCTAATCTCCCTCTCTTCTTTGACCCACAGGTCCACAGTGGCAGCCTCCTGGGGAAGAAGTACAACTGGAGCTGTGATGATCTGATGGGAGGCGGTGGCCTACACTCTGTGGGAAGCTACATCATTGACCTGCTGACATTTCTGACTGGCCAGCGTGCTGTGAAGGTTCACGGCTTCCTCAAGACTTTCGTCAAACAGACAGACCACATCCGGGGCATCCGCCAGATCACCAGTGATGACTTCTGCACCTTTCAGATGGTCCTGGAGGGAGGCGCCTGCTGCACCGTCACGCTCAACTTCAACGTCCCCGGGGAGTTCCGGCAGGAGGTGATAGTAGTGGGGACAGTTGGGAGGCTAACGGTCATGGGAATAGACCTCTATGGACAGAAGAACAGTGGTGGGGGGGTTAGTGCTGCGGGACCAGAACTGCTGCTCAAAGACAGCACGTCTCTCCAACAAGCCTCCCTGCCAGAAAAGGCATTCAGTGACATTCCATCCCCTTACCTTACCGGGACCATACGCATGATCCAGGCCGTGCGGCAGGCCTTCCAGGACCAAGACGACCGGCGAACGTGGGACGGAAGGCCTCTGACAATGGCCGCCACTTTTGAGGATTGTCTTTACGCACTTTGTGTGGTGGACACAATCAAGAAGTCCAACCAGTGTGGCGAGTGGCAGAACATTGCCGTCATGACAGAGGAACCAGAGGTCAGCCCAGCCTACCTGATCAGTGAGGCAATGCGACGCAGCAGGATGTCCCTGTACTGTTAGCCCCCCCCCCCCCCGATCATGTCCTGCTGTGGAAGGCTGCCTTCAGTTCATCTCAAGAACAGAGCCAACTAATTACTGTTACAGAGCTTAGCGCTATGATGCAGAAATTTGGTTTAAAAAAGTAGGAGCAATGTGAGTAAAAATTGGACTTTTATTTATGAGAAAGTTTTTTTTCCTATTTTTGTGAGCCTTTTACGACACGAGAGTGGCAGGTGTAACAGGAAGACTTCCCACGCAGGTCAGTCAGGGACTAAAAAGACTGGGGAGGCTGGAATTTCCTTGGGCCACACACTGAATCATTCTTGGGTGAATCAAGAAACCCCACAATGCCTCAGATGTGTCTGTCAGTGTGTGAATGTGTGTGCTAGAGAATAAAAACACTGTGAAGCCTTATCACTGTATCAACAAGACATGCTGTTTGGGTGTGTGAGTGAACGTGGTGTGTACTGTGAAAGCACTTTGAGTGGTCAGCGGGACTAGCATAGTCCCATAACTAGTCTGTGCTGGTCAGTCAGTTGTGCAGTCTACAGCAGTCACCTTCTCATAAACCCTTCTTACAACATGACACTTGAGTAATTAGAGATCTTTCCCTCCACCCTGTTTGCTGCTTGTTAGCTCTTGTTCCTGCTTCTCTTCTGTATGACTGAGACTGAAAACAACACCTAAAACTGTGTGTTAAAACAAGGACAGCCAAGGAACTGTAATAGTTAATAGTAATAGTTCAAATATTGTTGCTGTAATCTAAAGTATGTGCTGGTTCTACAAAGTCAATGTTTAAATGCTCAATGAACTTAACAGTCAGTTTGCTCTGTATCCGTCTTCTGTGTTTTACAGAGAAAAGAAATGGGTAGTTTGGCTGCTGGGCTCTCCAGAACGTTTAACCTTTGGGTCCATGAATGCAATACACACAGGCCACAGCAAAATGCTTTCAGGCTGAAATGAAGGTTTGATCTACACTCAAGTATGCCTTTATGCATGTTCAGAGGACCCTCATCATCTTGAGGGTCAGGCATGAGTGACTGGTCATCTTTTAACCTTGTCCTTATTTACTGCAGAATTTTTTTTACAATTCTGCATTAACAATTCTGATCAAGTCAAGAGTACAACTGAGCTGCTGTGCTCGGCAGACAGTGTAGATCTTCCTGCTTTCACTGTGGTCATGTCCTATGTATGTGAATTGTAAAAAAGATAAGCCTCTTTAGAAATACAAAATGGAACCTTTCTCATTCCAGGAAGGTTTTATAGCTTTTACCTGAGCAGATTTTTGTTTTGTGGACATAGCATGAATTAAAATGCATGCCATGCTTACCCTGCTGCGAGCTAATGTCGGCTTCTTTAACCCACCTCTCTGAAGATTAAGGATTTCAGCCACTTAACCGTGTAGCCTGCCACGATTACAAACTGTTTGAGTTGGTGGGTTGAAGGTAAAATCACTAAAACAGAGTTGATCTGTCTCAAAGTTTTTTTGACACCACTCACTGGATTGAATCCCCTAAATAGATGAGAAAGCTGACTCTTTCTATTAGCACTCCAGGCTCAGTTTTACTGCTCAGGTTGGGCTCCTCATCACCTCCTCACCTGCAGCAGACAGGTGACCAGACAGCCGTTTTAGTGAACAAAGTTTGACTACTACAGCAGAGGATTTTACAGCCAAAGTTCCTGAAAGTAGCTAAAAAGATATTTAATTGGAATTTCAATTTTCCAAGCCGACAGAGATGTCCATTTCAAATGTTTTGCCAGTTCGTACTCCTGAAAACTGGCAGCACACAAAGAGCTCAGTGATAGCAACATAAATTAGCCTTTTTTCATCTACTGACTTCATGGATGACAAGAACAACAGTAAAAGGGAGAGGAACAGGAAATAGCAGGCATAAGCACATCTATCTGTAAAACCAGTTGTTTTTCTGCATGGATGGCAAAGTAGTGTGGTGGTTAGAACCGGTGCCTCACAGCAAGAGAGGTCCTGGTTGGAATTTCTGGGAAATCTTTGTGGAGTTTCTCTCTTCGTTTGCGTGGGTTCTCCACCTTCTAGAACGATGCATTTTAGTTCAATGCTCCAAATCGCCCCTATGAGTGAATGTGAGTGTGTGGGGTTGTTTGTCTCTGTGTGGCTTTGTGATGGTTCCCACCCCCCATGGTTAAGGGTTAGGGTTAGGGTTGGTTAATGGCTGGGGGGATGTTTTCTGCATTCGCTGATAAACTTCCCACTAGTCAGAAAATGCCACTTTATGCATTAAACAAAGGGTCACAAAGTGACTGTGAACACAGTTTAACTAAAGGTCTGAAGTAGTGAGCCTGACCTTTCTTTTTTTTGCTTCTGTTTCTGGTTTTTAAGCTGTGCTGAAACACTTACAGAAAATGTACATAGGAAAATATTAGAAAACTAAAGAATTCAACTAGTCGCTACTGTATGTGTTTTACTCATAAACCCCAAGGAACTGGAACATGTAATGATGAGTGTTGATGTATTTATTAAGTGATATGGAAGTTCAGAAGACTGTCTTACAGTGTATTTGTGAGAGGCATTCGGAGCCTTCGGCGTCTCAGCTCAGTATTGACCGAAATGATCTTTTAAACACAGTCTTCTGTGTTTGAAGTTTTTTGCTTGCTCTCCAAAGGCAGAATGCCTGCACCGCTGGGGGGAACTGTCTGCCCTACTGCATATATTCATGGGAAATGCCTGTCTGTTGCCCTTCTGATTTTCCTTTAAGGTTGGTGGAGTCCCAGCATGCTTTGCAGGATGCCCAGCTGTCAGCATGAACGCCCCACGTCACAAGGTCTGCCTGGAAATATCTCTGCCTTCAGGCTCCGATAAGCTATCTCCCTAAGCAACATCAGGGTAAATCATTGCCCCTTGTGTACCAAAGGCCTTATCAAATCTGCCTATAGACTTTCCCCCTCTGTCTGATAAGAGATTAAGAACTGCAAAAGCAGTTGTTAGAGAGTGGCCGGCTTTGATTTAGTTTGTCATCGAGCAGGCACAGAGTACACAGGCTCCATATACGTGCAGGTCAAAACTCACCGCCGTGTGGCCACTGGCAGAAATGTGGAGTAGTGTGTTGCAGAAAATGACAGTGGTTATGACAATATTACATTAAATAGTTAAAGTTCGTTTCCAGCTCTGTGGAGTTTAGTCCTGCTGGCAGCTGGTGTAAAGTGGCGTTTTAGAGCAGTTACGCGCCGAAATTCGGGCGGAAACGGGAGAACTATAAGTTAGGGAATAAGTATTTTGGATAGTAGTAGGTGGGCCTTGCCTCTGGCAGTGGCCCCCCTAAAAATGATTGATCAGACTCTTGAGTGGTGGTTGTGACAGCAGTGATGTTGGTGGAGAGACTGCTCAGGGCTTTGCGGCTTATTAAGAAGAGGCTGGTTCACCTCTGTAAGGACAGCTCCTTACTGAGGCCACCATGAAGAAACACAGCAGCCACCAGCCAATTCCATCTTAGAGAGCCAAAGTAATGCAGGTTGAGGAGAGTTTGGAGGATTTTTTTCATTAAACTTGTCACACCTGTGGGTTCAGACCAAGTGCTTCAGCCTTTGATTTTACGGAGTAGCTTTTTTTAAAAATGATGATCTGATGTGTTCCTTACTTTGAACTGCATTGACTGCTCAATGTCTGTGACTATCAATTGATTTGTTCATATCTGGGAAGCACTAAACTTCTCATTGCACAATCAAAAACCCCAAGAGCTGCTTCCTCTGCCCTTACAAACTGTTCCTCAGCAACTAGATGCCTAATTGCCAAATCTTGTATTAGATTCCTCACCGCAAATACTCTCTTCTGTCCAGAAACCCCCGTCCCCACACCTGTCTCCTAAAATAACCCCCCCTCCCCATGGCTTTTACCAACAGTGTTGACAAAGTTTTTTTTGTTTTCTAAATATCAGTCCATCCCTTTTTTTTCTTTTTTTTGGGGCTTTTTCCTTTCTCTGTTAAACCAGTGTTCCGTTTTCTTTTCCCTTCTCAGTTGTGAACCAGGCTAAAGCCTGGAGGATGAGCACGCTGGGGCTTTTGCAGACAATTCCCAAAGGATATCCTGGTTTTTGTCTTATCAGGAATAACTACCTACCAGGACATGGGTAGAGGCTATCTATGGATGCTGACTGACTGTCTTTATGGTGGACCCTCCACTTGATAAAACAAATATCCATTGATGCTGTATTGTGACTATATCCTATATTTATTGTCATGTGTGTATATTGTGGAAGCATGGAGCTCTGCAAATGTAATGCAGAGCTCTAAACACATGTATGGGTCTTACTGCAGAGAATGTCAACTGTAGAAATTATTAATATTTTGTATCTATTAAGGATGGTGTTTGCGAATTCCTGTTGAATGAGCTGTTTTTGTTGTTTCTTCGATGACTAATGTGTTTGGTGTTTTCCTGTCTCATCTCCCCACACCTCTGATGCACATAGAGAGTGTGTACGGATGTGCCCGTGTGGTTTCAGGACTGCAGTTGAAAATAAAAGTAAGATATGACATCATTCATTCATGATCCTTTTTTTAAAAAGAGTTTGGGAATTTGTGTTATTGATTATACACTGAGTGTTCCTAAATTCAGCATAAAGAACCCCAACCGTAACCCTCATCAATCCATTTCAAAGAAATCCCCAAAAAAGACAGCCCAGTGGAATGTTCTTGGGCAATTCTTTGCTATGCAATGATTTGATATGATACCGTATTCCATTACGGCATTTGTGAATGTTTGTAATGTATGTGCAGCAAGAACCAAAACTAAACATCCCCTAAAAGGTCTCGTTAGCTCTATGCATCAACCTGGAGTGTGTGTCCATTCAGTTGAATTAAGAGCAAAACATTGACTTGGTGGTTCAGAACTTTAATCGTATTCCTCATTGAGCCATTCTTTAATAGAGCTACTTCTGCATTTTCAATTGCTTTCTTGCTTTTCCTCGTGACCCGCTGTGTGTGTTCATTTTCTGGACATCCCGGGCCTCATTTAGAACTCACGGTCCATGAACAATGGTGTGCTACTGTGTCACATGTAGCAAAACAGGCTCAAACTGAGCTCTGATACTAAATTCCTTGTGTTTCACAGATGTTTTCTGATGTGTACAATGTGTATACGTTGTTTGTCTTCAAACTTGTGTGGCAGTTTTAAAGCTATATGCATGCAGAGTTATATGAGACTCAGTAACTGGTGCCCAGTTAGTTAGGGTGGGATGATTTGAAGGCCAGTGTCGCCCTCTGCTGGCGGCTGTTGTTACTGCTCTGAACAGTCTGCAGCTCTACTTCTGCTCACTGACCAATAAGAGACACAGCCCGCATAACTACAAAAAACACACGTTTCATCACGTTCTTCTTCTTACTGTGACATATGCACCTTGCTTCCAACCCGTCCCTCTGGGAGCTGGTTTGGAGACCAGCGTGCCCATGGCCAGGGTTTGAACTGACCCGTGGCCGGCGCGCACGCGCTCCTGTCCGGCGTGAGAACATCAGAAGCTGTCTGCCCGGGGGGCTGTGCTCCGGGGGGGGGGGGGTTCCGGGGGGGGGGGGGGGGGGGGGGGGGGGGGGGTCTGTTCCGGGGTCCAGGACAGGTCGGCAAATTGAGTTTTTATATCAAATACATGCTAAATAAACAGGGAATCAACAAAAATAGATAAATAAATCAATAAAAAATCATCGTCCTCCATGTTATATTTGTAAGAATGAAAATAGAACAGCCCTGTGATGGACTGGGGACCAGGAGGACCCCGCCCCTCCCCAGTGACCACTGGCACACGCTCCAGTCCCCCTCCAGAACCCATCAGGGAATGAGGGTTCGGATAATGGACGGAAAATACAACTTTTTATTGTCAAGACAAAGGTATCCGATCTGGAGGGAGCAGTGCGACTGAGGTGGAGAATAGCGGGATGTTTTCCCCCTAAGGCTAGTCAGAGTCCTTATCTGCTGATCAGCCCCCCCCCCCCCCCCGCCTGGTTTGGTGAGGCAGGACGGATCTCTCCATCCCTCCAGCAGCAGCAGCAGCAGCCTCAGAGATGGCGGACCCGGCGGAGTGCACCATCAAGGTGGTGTGTCGCTTCAGGCCGCTCAACAGCTCCGAGGTGGCGCGCGGAGACAAGTACATCCCAAAGTTTCAGGGGGACGACTGTGTGCAGATCGCGGTGAGTAGGGGGAGGATGGGGGGATCTATCCCATCAGGACACCGCTCTGTGGGGCTTCTGTGTGTCAAAAGATGTCGGTGCTTCTTGGAGAAGGATTTAAATATGTAAATGCATTTCACTTCTATTTTAAGTGATCGCTAGGAATCTCATTTCAAACATTTCCACATTTGTATGGTCATCAAAGACACGTCCAGGTGGACACAGGTCAGCAGCAGTGTTTGTGTCTGGGGGAGGTCAGCACTTGGTGCTGGTGTCCTCTCAGACTCCACCAACGGAGTCCAGTTGGACCCCAGGACAGAGCTTTGTGTTGCTCTAAATGAGTTTACCAAAGATAGATTCTTTTTGGTGAAGGTGAGGGGTTTGATGGAAACGAGTCAAGAAATGTTGGTTTTATGTCTGATTTAATGTCAACTCCTCAACACATGAATCCTCTTTTTGCATTTATATTTGGCAATAATTCTGATATTGGAGATTTTCTTTCCTCTTGATTTAAAGTTAGGATCCTTTTATTTTGATTTCATTCAGTGCATTTCCCCAAATCTGTCCAAATTGATCAGTTTCTTTAGTGAGATTTGGGATGCTAATATCATCTGCATCCCAAGATATAAAACGTTGTTTTACCCCAGTTTAATGTTGGTCAAAGATGGGTGTGTCCTCACTGCCCCAGCCAGTGGCTCCAGGGGACAGACGTATTGCTTTGGAATAGGGGGGAAATCCCATTTTATTTCTGCGAGGGACAATAAACAGGGATATTTCATAGATTTCCTTGGGGGGACCTTTGCAACTTGTCTTGTAGGGTTAAGCCCTCAGCATGCTAGACCAAAAACACTAATAGTATATGGCAATGTTTATTTGTATAGCACATTTCATGTACAACGCAATTCAAAGTGCTTTACAAAGAGTTTAAAAGCAGAACATAAAGATAAATAAAATAAATAAAAATGAGTTTAACAAACTTTGATTCAATCGATTAAAAGTGAAAACTACAGATAAAATACATTCAGAATCATAATCAAAATATAATAGTGGTGTGTACAGATTAAAAAAGATAGATATGTATATTACATGCAAGAGTACATATTGCACACGGATATGGATTACACAATGGAAAATCAGTGCATGTTAGAGTTCAGGCTGATTGTGGCTTTTGGGAAAAAGCTGTTCTTGAGTCTATTTGTGTTTGTCCTGATGCGCCTGTCGCGCCTCCCAGAGGCGTCAGGTCAGACGGGCCCGGCTGGAGCTGCCTTTGGAGATAGCCCAGGCTCTCCACCAGGGTCAGGGTTAGGAGGGGATCGGACCTCCCTGTCAGCAGCAGGTCGGCCGGACCAGGCTGAAGCAGTCGGCCAGCAGGCTGTGGCTAGAGGAACGGCATAGGCCGGCCGCAGGGCCAGCTCAGGCCTCCTGAGGCCTCTCTGAGTCCTCCTCTCTGAGTCCTCCTCTCTGAGTCCTCCTCTCTGAGCCCTCCTCTCTGAGTCCTCCTCTCTGAGTCCTCCTCTCTGAGTCCTCCTCTCTGAGCCCTCCCCTCTGAGTCCTCCTCTGTGAGTCCTCCTCTCTGAGTCCTCCCCTCTGAGTCCTCCTCTCTGAGCCTTCTGGGTGATGGAGGGGATGTTGAGCAGGCCACGTTGTCTGAGATGGGGGGGCGTGGACCCTCTCCACACGCGGGCCGTTGATGTGAAGGGGGGCTGTGTTGGTGCTGTGCCTCCTGAAGTCCACCGTGACCTCTCTGGTCCTCTTGGTGATCAGAGCTAGGTTGCTCTCTGAGCTTCAGGAGCTTCAGGAGCTCATCTCTGTGAGGAGTCTCATCATCCCTTGACATGAGACCGACCGCTGGAGTCACATGCACAGTTAAATAGCCTAGCCTGCTAGCCTATACTCTCTTTGGTGGAAATGGTACACCATGACAATGATGGAGCAGTCCTTTTTGTAGAATGAGGGAGTTATCATATTTTAATGAGTAAAAAAAGCCAATTTAGGTTCATAATCACTTCAGTTGTGCTTTTATTTAACATTACTATGTTAGTATTCAAAAATCTTTTATTTGTGTTAACAATTACTTTGTTTACGGAAGGGGGGGTCCTCTCCACTGTGTCCCTCCAGGGATTTCCACCTCTGGTTCAGAGTCATTCTGTTTGTGACAACACTTGCCGTAGGGTCTGTGTTTGAGGCTGTTATTCACTAGAAAAAAGTATGACTAAGACACGTGGAATAGATATGGCTGCTCAGTATTAAAGATACAAAATGGAAGTCCTTAACCAGGTACCCTTTTTTCATCCTCTTACAGGGAAAACCATACTATTTTGACCGTGTGTTCCAGTCCAACACAACCCAGGTGCAATTCTACAATGCTGTGGCACAGAAAATTGTCAGAGGTAAGCACCACAATGAAATGAAGCTGGAGTCGTGAATTCCTACTAATCTACGGCCTGACCTTACTGATGAACGTGCTCTTTGTTTGTCTTCATTTCAGATGTCCTGGAGGGATACAATGGAACAATATTTGCTTATGGACAGACATCGTCTGGCAAAACACATACAATGGAGGTAATTTAGGCATCAAACATTGGCCTTGGCCTGGTTGTACTTGATATTAACACTTCAAACATTGACTAAAAAGCCATTGCTTCTTTTTCATGCACTTGTTCTTTTTACCCAAAGGGGAAGCTTCATGACTCAGAAATGATGGGAATCATTCCTAGAATTGTAGAAGACATCTTCAATTACATTTATTCCATGGATGAAAACCTGGAGTTTCACATAAAAGTATGCTATCAGGGGCCTCACTGTGCTGCTCAGACACCACATTTGTTGAAGTCTCACTGAGGTTTTGCCTTGCAGGTTTCATATTTTGAAATCTACTTGGACAAAATTAGGGACTTATTGGATGGTATGCATCAGGTTTTCTTGCTCTGTGCTCTTACTATTTCCATACATTTATGGTGACAGCACTTTGAAGGCAGACATGCATGTATTGTTCCTTGTACAGTGTCTAAGATCAACCTTTCGGTGCATGAAGACAAGAACAGGGTGCCCTATGTCAAGGTGAGATGTTATTTCATCCTAACTTGGTTTGCATAGTTTTAGCTGAAGTCATGTTAACATAACAAGTGTCCCTTTAGCATTATTCTAGCGGAATAAGTCTTTTTCCTCTACTAATAATGGTGTCTTTGTAAAGACACCCTGCTGAAGTGATCGTGAACACAGCATTTACTTGGAATGTGAATGTGTCCCCAGGGGTGTACTGAGCGGTTTGTGTGCAGTCCTGAGGAAGTCATGGACACCATAGATGAAGGCAAAAACAACAGACATGTGGCTGTCACAAGTGAGTTTGTACACTGAGTGCTTTCAGTGCTTATTCCTCTCATGGGTCGACCTCACTGAGTCTGCTGACTGCCACCACACTCCCCTGTGCCCAGATGCTATCTTTACTCAGCCCATTGGCGAAGAAGATTCCATTAGTATCTACAGTCATGACTCCTCGAATAAAAATGTCCCTAAGAAGATTTAATAAAATATCAAATCAAACAAATGTTTTTTAACAAGAAATTGCCAAGTGATTTGGCGCACTCCCACCATGATAGTGATTCCTATATTAAGTTTGCTTGTTTTTGTCTTTTTTATGTGTATCTCAGATATGAATGAGCACAGTTCCCGAAGTCACAGCATCTTTCTCATCAACATTAAGCAGGAAAACTCTCAAACGGAACAAAAGCTCACTGGCAAGCTCTACCTCGTTGATCTGGCTGGAAGTGAAAAAGTACAACTTCACCTGACTCTGTCTCCCACTCCTCTTTTCTACCTGTGTTTCTCTGCGTAAAGGCATGTCTTTACAGACTTTAGAAGCATCTTCTTCTGAATCCAGACTTCCTACACCAGAAGCATTGTGGGTTTTTATCTTGGGTATAAGTCAGATAAGGCGTTGCTTTAAACATTACTTACTGGATGCACAAAGGTCTTCCACTCTGGTGTCCTTCTCTTGTTGTTAGGCATTGTGTCTTTCTGATTAAACAGTTTTTATACATATCATTAATAAGCCTGATATTCTTATATTGCTTCTGATACTGATAAGAATAAAAAGATGATTCACTTGGCATCTTAATTGTAACTGGTATAATGTTTTTGCCTCCTCATGCTGATTCCATTCCGGGTTTGACGGTTCATAATCAGCTACTGATGATGTAACATGAGGGTGATGAATTACATGAAATTAGATTGATTATATTAATGGAACTCTGCCTCTACCTAAAACTTGTGTTTCTGTGTTTCATAGGTAGGCAAAACTGGTGCAGAGGGAACAGTACTGGATGAAGCTAAGATGATAAACAAGTCCTTGTCTTCTCTGGGAAACGTCATATCAGCTTTGGCAGAGGGTTCGGTGAGAGACCTGCAAAAAATGGAGATATATAATGATTACATCTACAGCGCAATAAACATGGAAAACACAATCTGTGCTTTCTATGAATGACACGACAGAAAATGTTAGGATTTAATAAAAGCAAATCGGATTGAATAAATCATTCCCCACAATGTGTTGACCAAAGACATTGCAGTCCATTGGACCCACTGACAGCTGAAATGAGCCATCGGGTGGTCCAAAGCAAAAATCAGTGTGGTTTTTAATACACAATAATTAGAGCCAGTATTTCTCCTGGAGATGCAGAAGGAAAATATAACTCATCTGAGCATTTCCTTATCAGAGCAGACATTGTTCTCAGGTCTTCAGAAGCCACAGAGCCATATGGGGGTTGGGGGTTGTTGTTGGATGGTGAGGGAATCCCTGGTACTTTCATGACTTCACGACATGTGCTCAGGACTAACATGACAAGTGATGTTCTGTCAGTAACACCTGACTAAACCTAGTTTGAGACATTAAGGCAGAGGTTAGAGGGTGAAACTGGTTATGGCTCTGTACCCCTTTAATTTGGCCGTCAGCAAATCAGAGCTCATTTTGTCATTCTCATATACGGTAGTTGATTTTACAACCATAAATGTTGAAATTTAGCTTTCATGTTGATGTTACTTTGAAATTGACCATCCACATAATTTTGCAGGTTTTGCATTTGGCCATCAGATTTGTGAGTTTCTTTGAACGCACGTTTTTGTTCCACTCTCTGGCCCATGAGATTAGAGACTATGAGACTTGCTGTTGCCCATCCTTGTTCTTGGGATGGGAGGATATATTCTTACTTAAAAGATATCTCCAATGAGATGCTTTTTCATTAAATAATTGTACTGTTTTTTTAAACTGGCATTGAGGCTGCTACATCACTGGCATTGGTCACAAGTGATGACATCATCTCTATTATCGCCTTTGCTGTGTTCATGAATACTGTTGAGTTGTTGGAACTTTCAAATCCTGTGCAGTGAGGCTGTTCATGCCAGCTGTTTGTCACAACCGTTTGTAGACAGCAAAACAGAGAATGAGGCTGTCAGTATGCAGGATAATGGCCAATGTGAGACTGTCACTGTCACATGGCTGGAGACATGAGTTATGTGTTCTGCCACATAATTGCAGAATGCTGGATGTTCAGATAGTTGTTGAGGAGATGTTGAAGTGCCATGATGAGTCCCTCTGCATTCGGAAAATTAGGCCTCGCAGCCAGTAATTGGACTGCACTTAAACAATTCAGCTTTACATCTGACACAAGATGATAGTGTATGTATTTCTATTTTATTCTGTAATTCCAACTGGTATTTAATGTAAATGTCCCTTTTAAGTGTCATAAAACAAGCAGTGAACTTATTACATGTGTGGTGTGATCAAGAATTTAAACACATGTTGCTTTTCAATAGGCGACTCTGAGAATTTCTGGTCCTTGTCTTCTGTCAGAGCTATGTTCCATACAGAGATAGTAAGATGACCAGGATCTTGCAGGACTCCCTGGGAGGAAATTGTCGAACAACCATGGTCATCTGCTGCTCACCTTCTTCTTTCAATGATGCAGAGACCAGGTCCACACTGTTGTTTGGACAGAGGTATTCAGACACAAAAACTCTCGACCACTCACTGGCTGGATGGGGTGTTTAGACAGCTTCATGGTCTTGAAGAAGTCTATGGTCCTACTCTGAAATGATTATTTGCTTCTTGGAGCCACATTATCCTCTTGTGTGGTCTGTCTGTCACAGTGTAAAATACATTTGATGAAGGGCAACACATGTCAGGTGGTTGTTCAATGGTCTTAGACTGGCTGCTTCTTCAAACAGCTTTTTGAACAATCAAATCATCTTGCCTACATTTCCTTACTTCTGTCTCACCAGGGCAAAGACCATCAAGAACACAGTGATTCTGAATGTTGAATTGACTGCAGAGCAGTGGAAGAAGAAGTGGGAGAAAGAGAAGGAAAAAAATAAGACTCTGAAAAACACTGTCACATGGCTGGAGAATGAGCTGAACCGCTGGAGGAGCGGTGAGGAGCAGGACCTCAAACACAGCAGCTCACAAGTTTCTATGCACATGTGCTGTACTCTGACTCTTTGTGGGGCTCATTAGAAGACATGTTGATTTGAAGTTTTAAAAAAGGGTTTTGTGGGTAAAATGGGTTTCTGTAGTACAGCGTAGTGTACGTCTGTATCAACAGGCGTTCACATGGTTCTGTTATGGTTTTGTTCCAGGCTCAGGTGGTAAAGCCATTAGAAAATCTTCCATTCAATTATGGACAAAAGCGTCCTTGACTCGTACACCTCACATTGCCCATCTATTGACCCCTGCAGGAGAGAGTGTGCCAGTGGAGGAGCAGTTTGACAAAGAAAAGGCCAAAGCAGAGGTGCAGGCGCTGGACAGTGCTCTGAACAATGATAAGGCAGCATCCAAGCAGGTCCCCAGCACTCTCGCTGCAGTCAAACTCACAGATACAGAGAAAGAGAAGTATGGGGGAGAAATGGCTAAGCTCTACAAAGAGCTTGATGACAAGGTAAGGGCATAGTACATTGGCATTCCAAACCTTAGAACATGGATACTAGTCTGCTGCAACCAGGGCTCAGTGGGTTGGGGGCGGGCGGTGTGAAAACAAATATGGCATTCAAACTGAATGAAACTTAAGATGCAGCCAGAGAAGCAGATCTAACAGCAGAGAGTGAAACAAACAAGATTCTTTCTGATCAAGAAAACCTGGAACTAGAACCAGTAGTAAAATGATTCTCCCAGTCCCATGTAGAGTGTCCTTAGACAGCAGATGGCTTTTGATTAGGTTTCTCTCTTCTTTTGTAACTCCCTGCAGGATGAGGAGATCAACCAGCAATCGCAGCAGGTGGAAAAGTTGAAGCAGGAGATGTTGGACCTGGAGGAGGTGAACCCCCTGTCCCCCCCGTCCACAAAGCCAGTGTGGCGCCCGACGCGAATCATTCCCTAAACATGATGTCAAATTTACCATTCTGTCCAAATGGATTATGTAGTTCCTGTCACATATGTCCTTTAAAGTCCTTCCATACTTGACAGCAATGAAACATTTTCCCTTAGCTTTTAAGTTCCTCTCGTCGTGACCACGACACCCTTCAGACTGAGCTGAACAGACTGCTGGCTGAGAATGAGGCATCCAAGGAAGAAGTGAAGGAGGTGCTGCAGGCGCTGGAGGAGCTGGCTGTTAACTACGACCAGAAGAGCCAGGAAGTTGAGGACAAAACAAAGGAGTTTGAGGCTCTCAGTGAGGAGCTGAACCAGAAGTCTGTAAGATGGATTAAGCTTAGAATGCTCAGATTCTGCCCAATGTGTGCACGCTTAGTTACTGTCTAACGAGTGTTATCATACACAATCAGAGCTCCTTGGCCTCCATCGACTCTGAGCTTCAAAAACTGAAGGAGATGACCAACCACCAGAAAAAGAGGGTCACTGAAATGATGTCGTCCTTGCTGAAAGACTTGGCTGAGATTGGTATTGCCGTGGGAAGCAATGATGTCAAGGTACCATTTCAAACTAAAAATGATAATTATGTATCATCTTGATAATCGGACCAGCTGACGGGCTTCATGGCAGTGTGTAACATCAGGTGGGGCTAGGCAAACAAAGAACAAAGAAACAATCGTCTTCCAACTGTGCCAAAAGTCTCAATGTTGCACAAAACGAAAGACTTCTCACCACTAAGACACTGAAGGCAGTTCATTTGTGTTGCTCTTTTTTACATAAAAGAACAGTCAGGCATGCTATGGCCTGCCTTCCCATGGTCCCTGGCTGCTGGTAATATGGGATTTGATAGATAGAAGTTTTTGTGTAGAATTTGACCGTGTAGTCATTGTTTAATGACATACTATTGATATTAATATTTACAGTTATTGTGGCAATGACACATCATAACATATGTATCATGATGCCATCATATTTTCTGCCTCACTTACCTTTAGCTTTCCTCAGCTGCTGTGGTGCTGTGCTCACACTATAGACTGCAGCTACTGCCATTGTGGTTGTTCAAATCACTGGAATGGACCCATCACAGAACTAGTTCTTCCCAGCCTGCAGTAGGAGCAGACAGACTCAAGTTACGTTCCCCTTCCCCTTAAGAAAAAAGTGGTTAAAGGGAGTCAAAAGTTGCAACTAAAGTGTTCAGCTTTCAGCAGTGTAACTGGGAAGAGAATGTGAGCTCACTTACCTTCTTTACGGCTGGAAGCTCAAAACTATGTTTTGCAGTATTAAAAGCAAAGTGTATGACTTTTTGTCATGACCAGTCACGGTAGTCACTCATGCCAGGAGAGAGCCGTCCTGTCACAGCAGCAGGTCTAAGGCTGCCTGCATGGAGCAAAGCTTTTGGCCATGAAGATGTAACACAAAGAGCTATTTCTATCACAGAACACTGTCTTACAGACACACTGACATGGCGCACGGTAGCTTGATCATTTTAATACTACATGTACACATTTTTGTAGTTTCGGAGAAAAAGCCTGACTCTCAAAAGCTTTCTGGAATAACAACCTTAAAATGTAAGATATCCGTCCACTTATCCCTCCATTTATCCAACCATCCATCCTAACAAGTATTTTCCTTCAAATCTCAGCAACAGGAGAGCAGTGGCCTCATTGATGAAGAGTTCACTGTGGCTCGACTCTACATCAGTAAGATGAAGTCTGAGGTGAAGACCATGGTGAAGCGCAGCAAACAGCTAGAGAGCACTCAGGCTGAGAGCACCCAGAAACTGGATGAGACTGAGCGGGAACTGACAGCCTGCCAGCTCCGCATCTCCCAGGTAACTCCTGCAGAGGCCAGCAGAAACGCAGGCGCAAATGTGGCAGTCCATTCCACATCAGGGCTCAGCCATATTCTGGATGTAGTCAGGACAGTTTTCTAGGAAACTAAACTGAATCATGCTGAATGAACAAGGGAGTGGCATGCTGGTGGGGTGGCAGTTGATATTGTCGCCTCGCAGCAGGAAGGTTCCCAGGTCGAATCCCTGTGTCAGCATGGGTTTTCTCCAGGTACTCCTACTTCCTTCCACCGTCCACCGTCCACAAAAAAAGGTTATCTGAACACTCTAAATTGGCCCTGGGATTGAATGTGAGTGTCTATAGTCGCGATGGACTACTGACCTGTCCATCCCGTACCAAGTGTCAGTGGGGACAGGCTAACCCTAACCCTAGACCCTACAGGAAATAAGATAATCTATGAATTAACAAGTATTGAGGTTTTTGTTGTTTCTACTCTCGATGGCTGCCGGCTCAACCCAAACCCCATATCCCAGCCACCCTGCAGTTCCGTCATTGATTCCTTTTTGAGTGTGTCTCTTGCCTGCTCTCTGCTGTTGTGTGTGTCCAGCATGAAGCTAAAATCAAGTCCCTGACAGAGTCCCTGCAGAATGTGGAACAAAAGAAAAGACAATTGGAGGAAAGTGTTGACTCTTTAAATGAAGAAATGGTGAGGATCAAAGCACAGGGTGAGTATAAAACAAACATTCAACAAACACATTTACACATTCCTTGACTGTCACTATATAAAGATATCCTTTGTCTATCTTAAGCCGTTCTGGCTTGAAAAACCAAAACCACATTATTTAAACACTGGCAGCGTTAATTTTAGGAGTTTTCCACGGTACCTTGAAATCTTGAGCTATGACAGATATTATTGGACATGTCCGTGAAAAACAAATTAAATAAAACTTAAGACTGATAAGGGAATGAATGTGTGGAAAGTGATCCCTGAGGAACAACAGGATCTGAGCATAAACCAACAAAAAACAAAGTAGGAGAGCCCTGAGCACAGTTTACACTGTAAAGGTTGTAGTTCCTTCAAACTACCAAATATGCTGTAGTTCAGAGTGAGCCATTGCACAACCTCAGTGTGGTATCTTTCATACATGCATGCACGCCTGAGATATTAAATGCTTTATGTCCCCATTTGTCTTGTATTGTCTCTATTTCACCTGTCAGTACTAAGGTGAAAAGAATAGGCTGTCGTTTTGGGCTGGTGGGATCAAGTGTTGTAGTCCCGTCTAGCCCTGGACTCCATTTTCCATGTTGTTGATGTGGAGTCTGGCAGGGAAGAAGATGCCAAAGCAGTCAGCATCATTTTGACCTCTGTGAAAGCAGCCCTGGCTTTGAAGACGCTGCTTGTGTAGTCCAGGAACAAGGCCATTTGAGCATAGCTCCGCTCAAAACGTTCCATAGTGTTTCCTTGCAGTGTGTGTGCAGTGACTGATAGATTTTCACAAAAACCTGCTGTAGCTCTGACAGATACTTCCCTCTCTCACTCAGTCCCTTTTAGATCCAACTTGTGATTAAATGGAGATGTGCCAGTAGCTGTTTTGAATTATTTGTTTGAATATGAAAGTGAAAACCAACTGAAGAAATAACTTTTGTTATTTTCATAACGAATTGTTGATGTTTCTGTTTTTTTAGATATACTTCGGAAAAATAAGTATTCAGCTATACTTAGTACAATATATGTATCATACATTGTCTTAAAAGAGATATTTTATAGGGGATTTCTTTGTTTGTTTGGCACTCAGCTAAATCTATTATTTTGTCTTCCTTCAGAGAAAGTTATAACCATGGAGAAAGACAATGAGATCCAGTCAGCTAATGAAGTCAAGGTACTGTGGCACTAACGTGAGCGTCAGCTTTCTGCCAGTGGGTCCTTTACAACATGTAGGTGTGTGTTTGTGTGTTCAGGAGGCTGTGGAGAAGCAGATCCAGTCTCACAGAGAAGCCCATCAGAAGCAGATCAGCAATCTGAGGGATGAACTCGACAACAAGGAGAAAATCATCACAGAGCTGCAGGAGTGAGCTGGCACGTCACCAGTACCGTCATTCTTTTGTTCAAGTATACAACCCTGTTCTCTATCTGTCACTGATTTCAATGCAGTTTGAACCAGAAGATCGTCCTTGAGCAGGAAACACTGAAAGTGGAGCATGAGAAGCTGAAGACAGTCGACCAGGAGAAGAGTCGGCAGTTGCAGGAGCTCACGTAAAGCCTCACGCTCAGGCATTAGGAGATCTTTTGGTCATTGCCGGTGATGCCGGCTCATATTAACGACTGCTTGGTTTTCTCCAGGGTGCTCCAGGACAGACGAGAGCAGGCCAGGCAGGACCTGAAGGGGCTGGAGGAGACTGTGGTTAGTTATTTACACAAGTGTTTCATCACCCCTCAGCCAAAGAAGAACTTCATCCAGAACAATCCTACCCTTTGACATATACCTAATTGTAGTATTATCTAGCCTTGAAAAACTCTCTTCATGGCAGAAAAGATTCCCTCTTCCACTGTTAAGGTAAAGGAATTTCTTTGGGAAAAATGATTCGTAATCAGAGACATGTATGAGCATGCACTATAACTTTGAACTTCCTTATCATAAGTAAGACGACAGGATTGGAGAATTGGTAAAGTGGGTGATGTTGAGAAATAAAGTCTTCTTCTCCAGTAGCTACACCCCTCTGGATTGCCAAGCAAACCCTTTTGGAAGTTACAACCTTAAATAAGGAGAATGGATTCTGCTTGAGATGTTTCTCTTTAACACTTTCAAAAACACATGTTTAACTTTGGGGTGAAACCAAGCCAGATTTGACTTTGTATCTTTGACACAAGTGCAAAGTAGCAAATGTCTCCCTCGATGATGTCCTACTCTCTGTGACCACCAGCCTGTTAGGAGGTCTTCTGTGATCATTGTAGTCACTGCAGACAGAACGAATGTTTCACAGTGTCATTGTGAGGTGGCGTCTTTCTTCAGTTCCCCCCAGACGATCCTGCACAGAACATGCTTGACATGTCAATTCTTTGCCTGCACAAAGTGGAATCTAACAATTCAGAGGTTCTTGATGCAATTCCTCCAGGTGACCTCGTCAAGGGTCTCAACAAAGTAAGCTAGGATGCTGACGCGACACCAACAACTAAAGAAAGATGCTTTCAAATTCAGGCCTCTGGGGCACATCAGCACTTCATCAGGAGAGCTGTTATCTACAATCAATGGGCTTTTTATTCCCTTGAGATTTGCTGCACCAGTGACAATCCAGGGGGAAGTGATTTTGACAGAGCTTTCGAACTTTAGAGTTCAGAAAAGGGACTGTGCTCCACCTAGAGTCTGGGAGTCTGAGAAGAATGCATGGAGTAAGTCTTTTGATGATTCCAAGTATCTAAAGATATCAGGACCTTATGTGGCTGCCATCATTTCAACAGCAACAAACAAAGAGCCTCCACCAGGGCTATGGCAGCAGTTTGATTAAAGAACATTTATGTTGGGATCATGTGCTGTCTTATTTTCAGTGATGACGTATATTCCACAAATAATACCCCTAATCACAGTCTGCCTTAATGGCTTGTGGATGCATAAGGTGGTGGTCATGTGAATATGACACCCCATCTCTCTCCTTTTTCCTACTTTGGCCAGTAGTGGACCAAAGCAATCTACAGAAGTAGAGCAGAAAGCCAGCTTGAATGGCCTAAGAAGGGCAACTGGAAGGTCAGCCATTTGCTGTGTCACAGGGCTAGATTTCCATTGTGACATTCAGCTCAGCTGTGTGGATGATGCCGGACAGCCTCTCATCCTCTGAGGATCCACGCAGTGCAATGAAGTTCAGCAAATACTCCTCTGGTACCAGGATGACATAAAGTTTGTCATGCGGTGCTCCTAACAAGTCCTACCGCTGGATGATGCTAGTGCTTCTTTTTTCCATTTCTGGTCTTTTCAACTTTACCTTTCTGGGGTGTTTTCTTGTTTTGTTGCAGGCCCGGGAGCTGCAGACCCTTCACAACCTGAGGAGGCTTTTTGTTCAAGATTTGTCTACAAGAGTAAAAAGGGTAGTGCTATTTTTCTGTTTGATTCCCTGTTGGCACAATTCACATTTTATGATCAAACACTGATTTTCTCCTGGAGGCTCCCAAGCTGAATGGTCAGAGTAATGAGCTTAGCATAGTACTTTTGTGTAGGACTTGAATTAGCTCTGTGCTCCAACCACAGTCTGTAGCTGGAAAGAGACAAACATTTCTATATTTTGTTCGTGATTAAATTTTAATGAATCTTGGGTGCACAACAGACAGTCTGTGATAAGTAGGCCACCTGATTCTTCCAAAGGAGCAGATTTAAATGAGACACCGAGGCCTCAGCATGGTGCTCATCCCAGTTTTCAGCATGGGGCTCATTGAGGGCATACCTGGCTAATGAATTCAGAATCTTCTACTCATCACCTTATTCAGGCACAAATGGGATGCCTTGCATTAGGGCATTTTGGGTGGCACAATTATGGTGACATGAAAAAGTAGACAAAACCTATTTAGTTGTGTGCTGTGAACCTATAAATGAAAGTTGAATTAATTAAGTGTAAAGAAACCAGTTTACAGAAGGAGCTCTCTGCTTTGCCTGAACAGAATGTTCAGGACACAGATGAAACTGAGGGCAGCACTGCTCAGAAACAGAAGATCTGCTTCTTGGAAAGCAATTTGGAACAGCTAACCAAAGTTCACAAGCAGGTAAAACTGTAGATGCAAGTCTCCATCCAACAAGGTCTTCATCCCCCATATACTAGAGTTAGTGCCACTTGGCAAATGTTCTACATGAAGTATCCTCCTTTGTGCTATTTTTTTAACTTTCTGAAGCTGGTGCGCGACAATGCTGACCTTCGCTGTGAGATCCCAAAGCTGGAGAAGCGCTTACGGGCCATGGCTGAGCGAGTTAAAGCCCTCGAAGCTGCTTTGAAAGAGGCCAAAGATAATGCAGCCCGCGACCGCAAGCACTACGAGCAGGAGATGGAACGCATTAAGGATGCTGTGAAGCCTAAAAACATGGGCAGAAGGCCTTCTGCTCAGATAGGTAGGTCAGAGTAAAAACTGTACATCCCGTCTTTTGACTGATCAGCACTAGCTTTCAGCATTTGACGTGCCAAATAATCATTTCTGAGATTTAGAAATCATTCTCTGTATATTGACATTGTAAACTGTATCCCAGCTCCTTTTGAAGAGGTCATTAGTAATTAGTAAGTAAGTACTGGTAATTAGCTTAGCTCTATTTGTCCTAAATAGAGACAGAGGTTTGGCTTTGGCCACCAACAGAAAAGCAGCGTATTTTGTGCTGATTACTTTATGCAGAAAGTTGAGACATAATGCACAGAAAAGAAAATGGATAAATGGCTCTATTTTGCTCTGTGCTAAACCCAGAAGTACACTGATACTGATCCAAACAGGCAGCATTAACCTGAGGAGCTCTGAGGACTGGACTGCAGAACTGATCCTCTAACAGTTTTTAGTCTTTTCCACTTTGCTCATGGACAGATGTTAGCAGGTGCTTGTGTGTTTTGGTCAGTATCAAATGGGCTTCATTACCCCACTTTGCCTGTCTCCCTCACCCAGCCAAACCCATCAGACCAGGCCAGCTGCCAGGTTCCTCTCCTCTGATCAGCATCAACAGGTCCAACCTCAAACAGAGCAACCACTCGGCTGGCGTTAGAGGAGGGGGCAACGACAGGTGAGAGCCCTCACAGCTGAGCACTGCTCTGCTAAGTCAACGTTTGGGCAGTTTGAATGTCTTCTCAGTCTTCTGAGTCCTCCTTTCTCTCTCTCACTTGCAGCAGCTGAGGAAGTGCTCCGACATCCCAACCAGAAGCAGCACAGCAGCTTTCCTCAACTCCGAAATGTTTCCCACATGCTGCGGGATCAAAAACCCCTCTATTCTTGTCTATCACTGCACCCTTAGCTGTGGAGCTAAATGACTTTCCAAACGACACGCATGTAGAACATGACATGAATGAATCGTCCCTAAGCATTGCTTTTCTACGCAGGATGTGTTTTACTAGTCTCATCAGAAATAGGGCAGCGCTGGGCTGTGCTGTTCGCTGTGTGTATCTGTCCAGACCTCTGCTCCTGTCATTACCACCAACTGTAAGGACGGGTCAGTGCCTCAGGGGTCAGAGAGCTGCTGTAACTCTGGCTTTCTTCTCTTTTCTAAAACCAGCTAAGGTACTCTGTGGTGCTGGAATGTAAGGGTGAACCTCCCCTGCTGGGGTTGGCAGTTGGTATCCTACAGATGAGGAAGGCCATGTGTGGCTGGTCCTGACGGGGCTGCCTGTCACACTGACCTCTACAGATGACCCCCACACAGTGGACATTAAACCGGCTGAGTGTTTCCAAAGGACGCTTCCTGTCGTTTGTGTGCCTTATTGAACCAAATCTGAGTGAGTGTGTCAAACAGTCCCAGCCCTGTCCATGCACTTCCGCTGGTGGGAACCAGACTGAGGGTTGCGGTGGGGGGGGGGGGGGGGGGGGGGGGGGG